ACTCACTCACTCACTCACTCACTCACTCACTCACTCACTCACTCACTCACTCACTTTATCCGTCCTCTTTTACCTGTGGGGCACCTGTAGGGCGTCAAGGAGAACAGCTTCAACAACAAGAACAAACAACCAATAACAGACTGACTCAGCGTTCTCCCTACTTTAAAAATCTATTTTTTGTCTATCATTAATTCTGTTAAATTCTCTTGTATTCCCACTTTATAAGAACAATATTTATTGCACATTCTGTGTTGTCTGCTAATTATAAAAGTGTCATTTCATAGGAATAGTCAGGGACAAAAATGTTTAAGTAGTATCTTTCTTTTTTGCTTGGGAAATGTCATGAAAATTTTGTTTAAACACTTTAACACAAAACATTTACAGAAGGATTTTGATAAAAATGTCCGGTGTACATTTTAAACATGGGGGTTTTTAATTTTAAAAGAGTCAAATGTACAATTTACACAAGGGCTTTTGTTTTAGAAAATGCTAAATGTCAAATTTTCCGAGAGGTTTTTACTAGTAAAAATGTCCTGTGTAAGTGTCTGGTGCTGAGGCCTTGGTGAAAAGTAACCCGGCCCGTTGTGGCTTCAGTTGTCTGTTCTTTTCTCAGCACGACACAGGAATAACGACACTGTGATGGTAGAAACTACTCATTGTCCCATATTGAGACTTTGATCACATTCTTTGTCTGTCTGACTGTCTGTCTGTCTGTCTGTCTGTCTGTCTGTCTGTCTGTCTGTCCATCTATCCATCCGTCTGTCCGTCCGTCAGTCTGTCTGTCCTGTCTGTCTGTCTGTCTGTCTGTCTGTCCATCTATCCATCCGTCTGTCCGTCCGTCCGTCAGTCTGTCTGTCTGTCTGTCTTACCCATTCCTTGCACTAAATGATAGTAAGTTATGTCCATGTGTTTCTCCTTGTTGGTGGTTGGCGGGTGCTCTGGTGTGGTTTGCTTCATCTTTCCTATCCAACATCTATCATCCTTATCTCCCCTCCTTCTTTTTTTGTGTTTGCTACTCTCTTGTAACACCTCTAATCTTCGGCATTTATACAACCTTATTGTGTTGCAAGTGCCGTAAAACTCTTCCTAAAAAAGAAGAAAAAGAAAACCATCCCCTCAAACCCAACCCACCTCTGCGTGTTCCAGCCTGCCCAGCCCGGCCCGTGTGCGACAGTCGGTCAAACGAGACCCCCCACCGGTCAGCCCCCTGGTCCGAGGCAGTCTGCTGACCACCCCTCTCCGACCAGACTCGCCAGCGTCCAGCACAGCGTCACTCTCTCAGCACGACCCCATCGCCAGGAAGCTGTTCACCTCCTGACCTTTGTGTGACGATCAAAACGAGAAAAGGTTGTTTTAGGGGGGGGTTTAAAGTTTTGTTTTGTTTTTTTTAGTTTTTGTTGTTTTTGTTTTGCTTTGAATGACGCGCGCACACACA